TGGGGACAGTGGGACACGGAACTTAAAAGCGGGACATATGGTCACGTTAGTTAACTCAAAACTGTGGAATTGAGAAGACACGATTTGAAAGTACAAACAATTACTGTATGAAACCAATAAATATATTATCTCCTTTATAAATGGATAATTAAATATTATGTATAATTAAAAATAATCACATTATTCTCAATGAGATCCATTCTGTATTTTATTTTTAATTTTCAAATCGCGTTTTCGCAATTTCACAATTTTGAGTTAAGACAGTATTTGTTTTCATGTGCGAAATAAGAGAAGACCTATCTATACCGGTATGATGAACACAGAAAAATGCGCCTTATTCTTGAAAATCTATTTAAAAACTATTTCTGTTCCGGCCTACTTTACGCATTTTGTGTTTCAATTCTTCATTACGCCGAGGATTTAATATTAACTTGTCAACCATCATACCAAGTTACAAAACTTATAGTATTGAAATCAGACCTCATAATCATCAAATCCAAACCTTGACGGCTCCGACGTGTTCAGCGAAGAACGGTGAGAAAAAGTTGCTCATTTCTGAAGGAGGAATGTCTGAAACTCCTCGAGACTTTACTCGCTCTTTGATACGAGAATACACGCCGCGGGAGAACACAAATACCTGCATAAATATAATGTTTATTATTTATATATATTGTTTGTAAATACAAACGAATTTTATTGAAGAAACACAAAGAAAAAGTCCTTAGTCCTGGATATTTTCTTTGGTTTCTTCAAACTTTGTATCAATGATAACAACAAACTAGTGGTGTATTTTCATAAAAATATATGAAAATTTTTAGGAACCGTGTTTTTACACCGTATAGTAATCAGTGTATATCTTCAATTTTATTATATATTTTTCCCAAAGTGATTGGTTCAACACTTTCACTGTTATGCGTAATCAACCAAAGCCATTTGAGGTTGTATAGACTCTTAACTTCAAACTGTCTCTATTTCATATTATCTTTATTTCATAGGTAAGCAAATTACACTTGAAATCTCTACTTTCGTAGGGCAGACTGCACTGATAAAATAATGTATTTTGGTTTGGGCCATATTCTTAAAAAGCATAAATCTTACCCTTGGTATAATAAAGTCACATGTGAGTGATAAAAATAATACGAACTACATTAAACATATTATGCATATAAATATGTGAAATTTTATGACTCACCTATTTAAGCATAAAAGTTATATTAGCCTCTGTGGCCGAACGGTTACCATGCCGGACTGCCACGCAGAGGTCCCAGGTTCGATTCCCGGGCCGGGAGAAATATTTGTATGGCCTACATTTATTTCTCTCGTGAGTTTGGGTGTAATTTGTGGTTGTCTATGTGTGTCCATGGCACCCGCGACACAGGGTTTCCCTAGTGCGGGGCTATGTTGAGTGTGTGCGTTATTATTATTATTATTATTATTAACTCGCTGTACGTGTGTCTGTCTATAGGATAAAAATATTATTCGAGTCTATTTCTGTGAAATATTGAGCTTTGTAAACGCTTTGTCTTAAAACCTATCTTATACCTTAATATAACAAAGCCTTATGTGATCATCCAATGTGCTTTTATCACACGAAAGTTACAAAAATAATATAAACTACATGAAACAAATTATGTCTCCTATTTAAACATAAAAATTAACCGAATAATTTCGTTCGTAGAATCTTTAACCTCTCCTGAAAATTTGTCATTTTGTAGATGTGGCCTTATTAAGTCAAAGGTGCACAATGTCATCAACTTGGTACTATTGGCATTTTAAACCAAAGATATTTAAGCAGGCAATATTTTAACACTAAAATTTATTAATTCCAACATCTGACTTTAGTTGAGTACACTGAAATCTAAAATATTTAGATTTCCATGGTTGAGTACCTTAATACGTACGTGACTCAATCGAAACAACGGTAAACGTTTACAAAAAGATAAAAATGGAATACTTTGCTTCGTTATCGATATGTTATTAAAACATTGGCAATGATGCTAAATATGGAATCACGTTTGATCCACGCCGATCAGATCGCGTGCGAGAGGCACGTTGTGCACGTTGCTTTACGCACTGAAAGTTGTATTTACAAAATAGAAATTATTTTGATTCGTCATTGTTAGAAATCCGAAACATACTAAATCCGAAATACAAAGCATAATACTTGTACTACCTGTCATATTTTAGATCTGTATTTGGTAGATAAAGTTCAATCGTGCAAGCATCCTCTGCGATGATTCCCACCTACACATAGCACATCGCACATAGTTTTATTACCGTTTAGAGCGATCTCTTTAAATATATTTATTTTTGTTGTTATTTATGATGTTAGTAATATAGTCCTTCGGGGTTGTTAGTATTTTACAAACAGCCATGTATATATCTAATTTCTTAAACTTTAGGTACATAAAGGCCAGTTATTCAAGTCTCAGATCATAAGCCTTTGTCAATCCAAATAACATCAATCCTTAATTACCCAACTCGTTGTAATATTTGAAGGGTTTTATCTCAAAAACGTACCCTGGTTATACAATAAAGCCACATGTAATCATGCGTTAAATGTGCTTTTATCACATGAAAGTCATAAATATAATATAAATATTAGATATCACATACGTTGTTCTGATCTCAAAGTAAAAAAACTATACGAAGGAAGTAAACCACTCTTAAGTTTTTATTGAATTGATATTCAATTATTTTTTTATGTGAAATTACTCCACTACTTTGTTATAATTATTAATACAAAGATTATATATGTATATATATAAATACTCAGAAAAAAATCCTTCGATCGAACCAGCGGTACTCACGAATTTTTCTATGTGCTTGTTGTCGTGTCTTTGTGTTTGGTTTTGCAACGACTTTTTAGCCGTACCCCCATCTATGAGAAATCTATGAAAGTATTTCGTCACCTAGTTAGATACCTTTACAGCTACCAGCCCTGGCTAGAGATGTCGCTATTCATTGTATTTAAATTTATATTGAATTGATATTCAATAATTTTTTATGTGAAATTACTCCACTAGTTTGTTATAATTATTGATACA